AAAAAAAACTCACGTCAAGATCTTTGCAGTTGGTGTCTTTCATTTGAGAGGCACTGCACTCCAGATTCTTATCCACAGGTATTAACAGCTCGTAATAACCAGGAGGACTTGTGCATTCTTCCTCGCCCATCATCAAGCCTGAATCGACTAGACCATTTAAGGAGTGACTGCACATCGGTTTCCAGCGATCGTCATTCTCTTCGACACAGAACGCTGAAACCCAAGACAAGAGAGAATATGTAGAAAAAGAAATGTAATTTAATTCGTCTTCACAACAGCTTTGACAAAGAATTAATCAACTTGTACAGTACTCAGCGCCTTAAAATAACTGAGGCCAGTTTGCTGCCTTTGTTATGACATGGAGAGAAGCTCTGAATGTTAAAATATGGTACTAAAGACGTTCAACTATTCTCGGATACAGACGAAATTCGTGTATGGCCACATCTCGTGTGGAACCGGAGTAAAAGAATTGATTCGCCAACACTGTGTTGATTTATCTTCGCGAATTTCAAAAAACAAGTTAACCCTCGCACGTATATACAAATTCATACCCCCACTGTGGTACAGGTGGAGGGGGAAGGTTGATGGAACCCTTCCCCGGAGATTTTGATATGTTGCAGTATTTCAAAACGATTTTCCCTGTGACGAAAGCAACAATGGTCGCCATCTTGTCCTCCATTTTGGATTTGACCAAGAATTAGAAATCAGATTAAAACCGCAATAAACGGTAATTTTTGTGCTTCACATGTAAAATAACACATAAATAAGCCCTTTGCATCATTTCGTCCACAAGCATTACATTTATTGTTGAAAGAAGTTGAAAAAACATGCATTTTCACCCAAAAAATGGCTTGACCACCCGCTACTTATCACGTCATAAACATAGTAACTGACCATCACTAAACTTGTCTCAAAATGCGCGCGAGGAATAAACGAACAGCTACGTCAGGTGCTGATGTTTTATCTTCTTGGAAAAAAAACTCAAACAGCCTCAAAACAGCCTTGTAAGTCCAAGGATTAAGATGGCAAGGTTGCTACAAAAGAACCATATGTATATTATTTCTATTTAATTCTGCCTTACAAGAACTTCTCCCCTCTTGCTTTGCTTTTCGACACTTCCCTTCATTACTAATGGTAAAGCGATCAAACTTGAAATCTCTGAAATCGGTAACTGGCTGACGGTAAGTCTTCATCTTGTTGTCACCCGCAAGGAAGTGAGATCCGCTTAGATGACGCACTCTCAGATGAATTTTGTCAGGTATATTTTTATCTTGCTTTTCAGAATCTGGCGAACCATAGAGCTCAATGTACATCTAAAAGATAAAAAAATCAATAGCTCAACATCCAGGGACATCACCACAACTTATCATGACATTATCTCTAGTACGTTCATAAATTCTTTGCCATGGCCTGTAAGAGTAGCCCGCGGATAACAAAGCTTCTTTAAAGTTCTCTTTAATTTTGTTTTAATGATTTTGAGTTAAGATTTCGTTTCTCAGTAGCTGTTCATTTCAGTTTTTTTTCTTCCGGAGTGCAAGTCCCAGTGACAAAGAATTCGGAATCCAGTACCAGGAATCCAGAATCCACGGCATGGAATCCAGAAACCAAGACTGTTGTGGATTCCTTTAAATAGGAGAAAAATGTCACTGAAAATCCAAGATCGTTTGGCACCAATAAGACAAAGATATACCCTTTTATGAGCATGCGCATTTCCAAGGTAGGCATGGCTAAATCTTAATATTTAACTGATAAAATATTTAGGCTTTGAAAACAAATAACATGCAGCAAACAAATTATTTTGTACAAGTCAGTCACCTCTCGCATAACGCATACTTTTACATCTACACAGACGGCACCTCACTAAAACGGATACTTTCTTACCTTTCATTTGTCTACTACACAGCCGTTT